AAATAGTTGGCAATCTTCTCTGACAAAAGTTGGAATTGTTGAATACAATAGTAATGTATTGACCAAATCCCTAGAAAAGTCATTGTTTCCTTGCTCTGCGAAAGTTGTTTCATTTGGTTTGTTTTATAGTAATTTACCATTTATGGACTTCATTTCTAACAGTGATTCAGTGTCAAATGAGTGCAGGCAGGAAAGAGTTCATGAGTCAGAGAGTGATAAGTCTATAAATACACATTTGACTTCAACTGGTCCGTATTTCAAATCTGAAATTTTGTTTAATATGTTTGGTTTTAGAATGAACTGTTTATACAAGTGCTGCTTCAGGGTGTTTTCAAGCAATTGACATTGCTTTATTGGATTTGTTTTCGCACAAGTTGATCCTGTAACTTTGAATACTAGTGATGAAAGTGAAAATACTAAGAAAAATAATGTACTTCTGGTTGCTAGATCAGATAGATGGGTAATTCAGTGTGTTTCCTTGGTGAAGCTTGACGAATGTCCAAATATTGGCTCAGAAGTACAACGAACAGATTTCCAGTTTACTGATAAACTTCTTATTTGTCTAAATGCATCTGGCTTAGTTGTTTTCTATGGATTAATGTCCGGTGAGTATGTTGCACATTTAAGTATTTCACAGACTTTAGCACTCAACCCTCAGTTGGATTTTCATAAGCAATGAGCATTGTCTCTAGGTTCTGAGAAACACAGTACTAAGTTTGATGGAGTTGATTACAAACGAGTTTTGCAACATGGTGATTATTCTGGTAGGAGAATGTTTACAAGGTTGATTGCTACTTTACATACCTCCTTAATAGATGTTGTTGATGATTGTGGTGTAATATATGTGATTTCAGCTGGTGTATATATATCTACCAGACATGTGTTATGAAAATGGGAAGTTTCTTTCACATATTCAACACCTAAGGCTAGGCATGTTGGATGCTTGTGATATAGGTCACCAAAGGGTATATTCTAACATATCTGGTTCACATAATTCTATTACTCTATCCATGACGTATGACAAATCTTCTTTCCTGGATGCTTGTGGAAGTAATGTGCTTAGAAACCAAGAGCTGGACGGTAAGCAAGAAGGGAAGGGATCCGGCTCATTTTTGGGTGGATTTTCTGCTTCAAAATTAACAGATCAGAAGCCTACTACTCTGAAACGAAGCCACACTTGATGCGCAAGATCTTTCTTCTCCCACATAAGTTTAGTGAAGTTGATCCTATCTGTTTCTCTCCATTAAGAATTACTCGACTTGTTAAGAACCGGAATGTGATGAACCCGAAGGTTCTGCATGCTGAGTTCATAGATTGTGATGACAACTTTTGAATACACTATGTGAAATGTTTTATCTCAAAGGGAAGGAAGAAGCCTTTATGGTTCAAAGCACAAGGGAAAGTTGAAAGATTAAAGGCAAGGCTTGTGGCTAAAGGATTTACACAAAGAGAAGTCTTGACGAGGACATTTATGTGAAGCAACCACCATGATTTGTTGAAAGGGGGAAGGAGAATCAGGTATGCAAACTCTACAAGTCCATTTATGATTTAAAACAAGGTCCAATTTAGATTTATGGTTCTATACGTCAATGATATATTGTTGGCAAGCTCTAACGTCCAATTGTTAAATGAGACCAAGCAAATGTTGTCCAATAGCTTTGACATGAAGGGTTTGGGTGAAGCTTATTATGTATTAGGCATTGAAGTTGTAAGTGATAGAATGAAAAGAATTATATTGCAGTGGGGGTGATGTTCCCATTGCCAAAGGTGAGTGTGATGTATGTATGGTTTGCACTAGACCGGTTTTGGCTTTTTGGCTTTTGCACTGAGTGTGTTTGGTAGATTTCAATCAAATCCTGGCATTGCACACTGGAACGCAAGTAAATGGTATTGAGATACTTAAAGAAGACACAAGCTTCTGTCCTAGGTTTTCATCAAGTTGAGAATTTGGAAGTGATTTGTTATAGTGATGCAGAATTGGGTATGTTTTCATATTAGCTGGTGGTGTAGTCTGATGGAGAAGTAGAAAACAAGCCACTAGAGTATATAGGTTGTTTTTTAAGCAATGAGGCAAGGTGAGTGGTTAAGAAACTTGATCTATGACATGAAGATAGTGAGAAGTGTTGAAAGACCAATTAATATTTTTGTGACAATACCTCAATAACAGAAGGTAAGAAGCTTCAAAACTCATAGATATTAAGTATTTGAAGCTCCTAGATGAAAACAGAAAAGGAACTGTCGATCTAGAGCATATTGGTACTTATCACATGGTTGCATATCCATTGACAAAAGCATTACATGTAATAGCATTTCAAAGGCATTTTGCCAAATATAGGAATACAAACAATTATAGATCATGTTTGAGTATGGGAGTAAAGTAATTTTCCACTGATCATGTTTGAATGTGGGAGTAAAGTAATTTTCCACTGACTTAAGTACATGTTTTGATTAGAAATTGTGCTTATAATGTTCACTTGTATTACATGACGATGTAATTCTTTTGAAAAAGCTCAAGACTAATCGGATACATGTTCATGTTTGCATTTTACATAAATAAAGTATAAAGGATGACATCTGCAGTGTCATTATTGTTATGTCAAGCAATGTGGGAGTCATGCTTGCAGTTGAAGGTCTTCTCATTTGAGTTTTCTCTAAATATAGTCTCATTTGGATTTGATTAGTTTGTGGTTTTAGCATAAATGATACTATTACTGTATTATATTGTCTAGAATTCAACTAATGAATCTTTGAGTACGAATGAAAGGTTTCTTTTGATAATCATATTTCAGTGATCACGTACTAGTAGTTGGACACAATGTTGTAAATGGTTATGACCATTCTCATGTGGGAGAATGTAAGAACTTTTGTGTGAGAAATGGTCCAAACCATTTAATAAAGGAAATATGGTTATAGTATACGTTATATACATTAAGCACACATTTAATATAAAGTGAGAAAACCATATTACTTGTACAAATTATGGATGGAAGACAGTTACAAAACTTGAAGAAAACTGACAGCAACTGCTACCATGATAGGTGGAGCAGTTGCGTCCTATAAGTCAGGTTTTGATCGCCTTTCTCGGGTAAGTTACAGGGTTCTCATAAAGTGAATGCTCGCCCTATCGAGAGTAAGAGTTCCATTCCGTTTCCAAGAGAAAGGAAGGTCCAAATCTCATCTCAATCATCTCGTCTACGACAGCAAGTAAGTGCATCCCTAGTTTCTGCAAAGTGATGATTTAATGAATATTATGACTAGTATAAATGCATGCGTGTATATTAGATTGTAGTTCATCATGCAGGGTTGATCTTGATCTCTGAATCAAGTATATAATTAACTTTTACACCTTGATCTCCACCGTTTCTTGGCATAATGAAATATCATTCTCCATAACTTAAGCTTCTTTTCTAATGATTACTTCACCCATACTTGCCAAATACAATTTGTATAAATAAAAAAAGAATTGCTTAACAATTAGTCACTTCAACCAACACCAAGTGATAGGATTTTACCTTGTTATCGTCTAGACTCTTGCATTTGATCCTACCGTAAACGCACATCACCATCTAAACGAGAAGCAATGAGCTTCACTTTCTTCCTTTCCGGAATTGGTTGTATCTTGAAAAGTTTCTCTACATCCTCAACCCACAAAGAGAACCTTCAATGCAATCACTTCCCAAGAAAATAGGAATATCTTCAACATCAACTAGATGAGGTTGGCTCGGGGCAATTCCCTTTGCGCACAACCCATCTATTGCCGTTCCCTTAAGAACAACGTCGCTTAGGGTTTTGCGTCTCCCATAATCGATTGCCAAAGAACAGGGCATATCCTTGCTTTGATACCAATTGACGCATCACGAGCGTGAAGGATTACAAACATAAATCTTGAAGAACAAAGAATTATGGAGTCCACTAGATTTTGAGAGAAAACCGAAAAGGTTGTTTCATTAATTTTGAAATTGATGAATTACATTGGAAGTCAAACAACTTAAAAAGACATAAACACAGCCCTGGGGAAGCTCAAGGGTCTTAGGAAATTAAAATGACATGAATTCCAACAGAAATTGAAAGGTTCAAAATTTATTACAATCTTTATTTTGCGGTTTTGGACTTCTAAACAACCCGGATAGCTAAAATTCATCATACATCGCAGCAAAGTAGTGAGTTTAAACTGGGACGTCGCGCTCTTTTCGAAAAGGTATCATAAGCTCGAAACAGAGCTCGAACGCAAAATATATGAATTCCCATTGCGTCCTTTTGTCTTCCTTCAGTCCATTTGTCAAGCAACCAAAAAATCCCAACACAATATTCCTCTTCCTATTTTAACACCATATTTGGCATTTGAGTGGAGATTTTCTCTAATGTGCCATTCCTTGTTAGTTTTAAAGCGCTCCATTTTCTTTACTTCTTAAAAATTCACCCCAATCTTGTCCTATATCATTGTTCACTGTAAATCTTTTTGGTCATTCCGTGATAAATTTGTCAATATATTCATTAAATTGTCACGTAAACGATCACATGACTCTTTTTAAAATTATTTTTGTCAAACAAGCCCCTCTACCTAACGAGAATAGTACCATAGCAGAATCAGTGCATACTGACTTTGATTAATTTATGTCCATTAACTAGAAGAAAAAAAAATACACCAAAAAAAATAAACTACAATAAAGCATCTGGCAGTTGGATTTGTTTTCTTATAATTTAGTTTAATTTATAGTAGAGTATAAATTTACGCCTTCATCATTTCATTTAGTGCAAATTTATCGTTGTATATATCATAAAAGAAGGTAGGGTATCAAATTATCAATTCTATAGATCTATACAATTAACTCATTACTTTTCTCTCGCAACACAAACAATATATTCATTGAAAGGATGGGAGGAAGCATTTGTTTCATCATAAACTATCCTAAATACATATCCAAACCATGCAACCAATTGCTATATTCACAATAATTTCAAAAAAAAATTAAAAAAAAAAACACTTCCCTCGAATTAAATACAAAAAGAAAATGCAAAGTTTTGAGGACTTAATAATTTACAAATACATATGAATTTGCAGTTAGTTACATTTTTTTGGGATATAATAGAATACATACACGATATTATGCATACTGTAATCATAGTTTCGGTACAAAAAGTCTTCATTGCAGGCATATAATTATGAGTTTTTGAACGCTACCAGTCATGAATTCCTTCTAGCACGATTACAATGAGCATCACTAATCTCTAAATAAATTTCTCTAGAATCCTTGATTTGAGAGGATCTGAGGGCCGAAAAGTCTCCAACCACAAGTTGGAGGACGGACGGATAATCTCTGTACGTCTTCAAACCCTTCTCCGACTTGATAATCTCCAAGAGGTCCCCAAGAATGTTGCCTGCAAGCCCTACTTCCCGAAGAAGCCCTGGCTCCTCTCCATCTTCGTGTATTAATCGACCGATCTAATTCAAGGAAACGACAATCCTAAAATGACCTTGGCAAAGATAAGGCCAAGAAACACTGGTGCTCTCGGGGCATCAATCACCGTATCCTCTAAGGTCGACAGAACAATTTCAAACCTGGGCAGATAAAAGAAGAAATTAAATAATAGAAAAATGCACAATACCGAGAAGACCAATTTCAATAACCAAATGCAGATGTAAACTTTCCGCTACCCCTTGATGAGCTGAGATTGACTCAAAGTTCCATCATTGGTCTTTGTGAGGTTGATTAGAAGCTTTGCCAAGAGATCTCTTTCAGCGTCCTTCCTCTCAAAAGAGTCTATGACCCAAAGAGATATCATCAACGGATGGAAACTTGGTGAGTTCAACTCTTTAATGCATAAAGCAACCTCTTTCTCGTCTCGAGCACTGAAAATAGAAAGGAAAACAAAATTAAGGAGGAGCATATGAAAAATCTTAACAAGGGTTATCAGAAGTTGTATAATACATCAAACCATATATATCTAGAACGTAATCTAAGATGAGTTCTTGGAAAGCCAATGACTGAACATCAACAATATGTATTTAAATCTTTAATGTCAAAGGTTGCGAGCATCCACCAGGTCCAACTCTGACATCAAGTGGATGCATCAGGGCAAGAATGAGTTGTTTTAATATGGTAAGAACAAAGCAGGTGAAAACGAGGCTGACCACAATTAAACTAAACACATTTAGATATCACATTACTTGTCATTACACTCACTGCATTCAACTCAACCTAGAAGTTTCCAAAGTAGCAGGTCAAATGTTGAACAAAGTCTGCAGTTCTCCATGCAAAATAATTTCCCAAGGTTTCTCAATATCCTTGAATGCGCAACAATAAATTCAGCAAAACATTACAAGGGCAGATAACATGAAAAATGATAAAATAATCCAAACTTATTTATTTCTATATCTGTGTAAGTTATGCAAAGAAACCCTAAAGTAGTCTTTAAGCTAGTTGTAGGAGGGTGGTCCGGGACAAATCTATGCACTTCAACTTGAACACTGTGACAGCTAACCTGACTATAAGACTGGATACTTTTCAATAGATGTGAAAAAAAATACATAAACATTTAAACAATTGCAATCATGCGGTTAAACTAAAACAGCAACTAAAACAATTGGCCAACTGCATAGGAAGTGAATTTTCCAACTGAGATCTAACAATTACAGATGAGTTGGTTACCAAGAGGAACGTTAGAGTAGATAGAAATCACTGTCGTACGGCCTTCGGCCTACATTCTTTTATTTTCTTTTCTAACACAGATATTCAAACTTCAGGACCTCTACCTACACCTCACTCATCCCATGCCACTTGAGCTTTGCTCATGGGTCCCATATTCTAACACCAACTACATTTACGAGAGTCCGAACGAATTGTATCTACTACTTTATAACATAGCATACAAGTAATCGCACAAAAAAAATCCATCACAACTAACTCAACTCCTTTACTTTTGATTGTTTTTTTTCTTTTCCATTCTGTCTTCTGTACCACCCCCTGTGGGATCCATTCAATGCCAGAGACAAACAATCCTGATTCTATTTATGCAACTTGAAGTCGATCAAAAAAACTGGAGATGAGCAACCATTGCTCCCAAGTCCTATTCATTCCCCAGGCACAGAACACACATGCCCCACTTTCCTTTCAAGAATTGAACGCATAATCACATTATGCAAATCATAGGCAGATTTTTTTAGCACGCAGAGAATTATCACATCTGAAAGATGCATTGAACTAAGAAAATTACAAAAATTAATTAGAAGTCTAAAGCATGCATGAGACAAGAATTTCTTAACCCAAAAAAAAAAAAGTAATGAGACAGGACTGCTCTCTCAAAACTACGAATATACCTGTAAAATTCTCTAATCGCTGCCAAAGACATATCTCTAAGACTATCTTCAGTCAACACATTTTCTGAAGGAACATTTTGTGTTAAAGCTGCTCCATGTGCACGTGTGGGTGGTGAAGTTGGAAGAGTTCTATCGAAACTATGAACATTAGGTGAAGATAACATAGTTGATCCTCTTGGACTAGGAGGCCCCCTTCTAGCTGATGGATTGATTCCAGGACCACGGGCCAGCCTACTAGACTGTGCCAGTAGTTCTAGTGCAGCATCTCTGTGCACTTCCTCAATCTTTTTCGGTCCTTCAACTTTGCTCCCCTGCTGCCATTTATTCTTTCTCAAATCAATTGCATCCTTCAACATGAACCTAACCCTAGAAGATAATTTCATGTTATTCGATAAGCTTTTCATCCTTTCAAAATATGCATCCATGTGCTCCTTGGCTTTCGGATGATCAATCATCTCCCCAATTGTGCTCATTAGTTTGCACAAAGCTTCAATATCGTCCTCATCTGGAGTCTGTTGCTGACCTAACAACTTTTTAATGCATTCGTGCATAATTCTCTCAGTCAAAATTTTCTTTTTGTATAGCTCCCCAATTAATCTAATGTTACCCAACATTCGTCTTCGCGCTTTGATTCTTTTCTCCTCTCTTTCTTCTTCAGACTGTTTCACCTGACCCTCCTCATCGGCCTTATTGGCCTCCTCTTGCTCTCTTTCTCCCCCCTCAAATTCCTCCTGGCACTTGTTCAAAAGCAATCTCTTAAAAGTTATCTTTTCATTGTCTTCACTGAAATCAGGCAACTCTCCGGCAAGATAAAAACAGAAGTTAGCATACATCTCACAGAGAGTAGGCTCCAAAAGAGCCTTGTCAAAGATCTGTGAAATGACACCAGTTAGAGTCCTCGCATTATCTATATTAACAGCTTTCACTTGCTCGAATAGTTTTTCAAAGTTTTGAGGAGTCAACTTGTTCAGTATAGCCTTTAACTGCCTTTGCTTGGCCTGCTCTTCATCACTCACTTTACCCACTTCATTCTTCCTGTCAGCTTGGTGCCTTTGCTCGAATAGTTTTTCAAAGTTTTGAGGAGTTAATTTCATGTGGGCATTAGGTGAAGATAACTTAGTCGATCCTCTTGGACTGAATTCCATAGGAGGCCCCCTTCTAGCTGATGGATTGATTCCAGGATCACGGACCAGCCTACTAGACTGTGCTTGTCGTTCTTGTGCAGCATCTCTGTGTACTTCCTCAATCTTTATTCGTCCTTCAACTTTCCTCCTCTGCTGCCATTTATTCTTTCTCAAATCAATTGCATCCTTCAACATGAACCTAACCCTAGAAGATAATTTCATGTTATTCGATAAGCTTTTCATCCCTTCAAAATATGCATCCATGTGCTCCTTGGCTTTCGGATGATCAATCATCTCCCCAATTGTGCTCATTAGTATGCACAAAGCTTCAATATCTTCCTCATCTGGAGTCTGTTGCTGACCTAGCAACTTTTTAATGCATTTGTGCATAATTCTCTCCGTCAACATTTTCTTTTTGTATAGTTCCCCAATTAATCTAATGTTACCCAATGTTCGTCTTCGCGCTTTGATTCCTTTCTCCTCTTCTTCTTCTTCAGACTGTTTCACCTGACCCTCTTCATTGGCCTTATAGGCCTCCTCTTGCTCTCTTTCTCCCCTCTCAAATTCCTCCTGGCACTTGCACAAAAGCAATCTCCTAAAAGTTATCTTTTCATTGTCTTCACTGAAACCAGGCAACTCTCCGGCAAGATAAAAACAGAAGTTAGCATACATCTCACAGAAAGTAGGCTCCATAACAGCCTTGTCAAAGATCTGTGAAACGACGCCAGTTAGAGTCGTTGCATTATCTATATTAACAGCTTTCACCTGCTCGAATAGTTTTTCAAAGTTTTGAGGAGTTAACTTGTTCAGTATAGCCTTTAACTTCCTTTGCTTGGCCAGCTCTTCATCACTCACTTTACCCACTTCATTCTTCCTGTCAGCTTGGTGCATCACCTGTAATGGAGTATGAGGAGAAGGCATCAAGCCCTTAGGTTGAAAATTCGTAGCTCTCTGAGACCTGTCGGCATCAGAATTATTTCTTTGCATCCCTCCCTGATGACCAACAGAGTGAGCAAGACCAGGCAGGATCCCTCTAACATGCTGCTGAACTGGTGTCCGTGCACACGGACTCCTCAAAACACCAAAATTACTACCCAGTTGCTGGGGGCATTGTGACGCCATGCTGATCCCCAAGTTGCCTGTCTGAGGTATCTGAGGACCCATTTGGGGGGTAAAAGTCATGTTCTGGCTCTGATGCATAATTCCCTTGGGCTGCATTGGATGGGGCTGGAGACCTGGAACAAACACTGGCTGCTGTACTTGAGTACTACCAATTGGTAATTGCACAGGCATTGGCATTTGAATTGAACTGGAGCTCATACTCTGAGATTGGATCTGCTGGTTGGGGCCACCAAATTGCACCAGAACCTGTGGCTGATGAAATGGCATTGGCATGGACATCCCAACCTGAACAGAAATGCCCTTGGACGCATCTCCTGGGGCTAAAAGCAACAGAAAATATTAATACCTGATTATTTGCATTTATCAATATATCATATCAGCACGTTAAACTCATTACTAAATCGCCTATTTGGGAGAAAACTGCCAAGAAAATCTAGCATTGACATCATAACGTTGCTATATAACAGTGAAAATATGCCAACATTCCCCAACATCGAGTACAACAACATCCCCATGGCCCAGAGTGTGAACTTACGCTTTGCTGGTGTAGTGGGTTTTCTTGTGTCAGAAGTCACGGAGACAGATTGAGAAGTCAGAGGCTTTGGAACAATTCGGAAGCATCTCTGAGGGGCTGATGCCTCAGCTGTCTGGGGAGCTGTGCTTGCAATGGGTACATCAGAACCTCCTACATTAAATCAATCGCAGGAAAACATTGCCAAGAAATGAAAATCAAACAAAATGAGAAACACAGATTTTAATTTCAGATTCCCAAACTCCTCCAACTAACCATAAAACTCTACAAAACAATCACGATATTATCAAATAAATTTCTAGACTGATAGAACTGAAACTTCGAAATCTGTACCATGCAATTGGGGCTGTGCATGGGCTCCATTTTGTACACCACCACGTTGTGCAGGAACCATACCGGAAACCTGACGACTTACACTAGTTACACTTGCCCTGGATTGTCCTCCTTGCGTATTGTTAGTATTCTTCTTATAACTGAATATTTGAAATAAAAATCATCAAACCATAATTTCCAACACTCACAAAAATTCCGAAACGTTTAAATAAATATAAAAAAACGAAATTTGAAATCACAATCCAAAGCAATATACTTGCATAGATTGTTAAAAGTGAAGTAAAACTGATCAGAGACAAACCCTACACAGAGACACATATGCAAATAAGTAGAACGATATACACACAGATATATGCACCTGTGGTTGGAGGAAATGAAAAGGACGGGCCCACCGGCGCCGGCAGCGGTGCCCTTAGGCCAAGCGCGGGAGTATCCCCTGTGCTGCCGATTAGAGCCTGCGGATCGCCCTGTTTTCCGGTACTGCGTCTTGTTCTTTTCCGACGTTGATTAATTGAAGTACATTTATTCCTACGATTACTTCCCAAAAAATTTTCTCTGCAACCAAACATGCAGATCCACAAACCCCATATCAAATCAATCAAACCTAATCAACTGAAAATCGTACCGTAAAGCGAGTGATTAAGAGAATGATTAGGGTTTGATTGGAGTACCTTGAGAGTGAGAGTGAGGAGAAAGAATTAAGGTTTTATTGAGAAACCATGAGAAAGCTACATAGGGTGATATGAGCGTCAGTGACTCTACATGACCGAGAAAGAATTATAATCCTTAGTAAAATTATAAAGTAGCACCGACAAAGTACTTTATGTACTTTATGTAAGGTGTTTTTAAAACAAAAATTATTTTTACAATCGTTTTCAGTCATGTAATAAGATTATGTAAACGGGCCATAAAAGAAAAACTTAGAGAGAGGAACAGTTGTTTTGGTGTCTTGGTAAGAGAGAGGGATGCCCGATTTAGATTCTTTTAGCTGGATCTTCACATCTTAATCATTCATTATATATTATGCGTTTAATTTTTATTAGCTACTATTTATATTTAATTTTAAATAAAAATTTAAAATAATTTATAATCGCACAATATACTATAAACAATTAAAATGTTAGAATTCATACCAATGATATGTGGATGGGATTCCCCTCTTTTAGTACCTTATTTTAATCTCTTTTATCAATTATTGTTCAATTTCTTTTTAATTTTTTTTTACTATTCATTCGTACCAATCATTTTTCTTTCTTCTTTTTCTCACTAAAGCAACCTACCTCGCTAAGCAAACTCATTAAACCTAAAATAATGACAAAAACCTAAAAAGTTTAATCATGCCTATTTAATTTTCTAGAGTCACCACTTGGTACTACTATGTAGTAGTGTTTTTCTTTACTTGTAAATGAGAGGTCTTAGGTTCGATTCTCACTAAAATTGAATTTGAACCACATTATTGTTAGTTTATTGTGAAATTTAGCCCACTCCCTCACCTTTTAATATAAATAATATCGTTTGTTAAAAAAAAAAAAAAAAATTATAGTGACATTGCTGCTTAGTATTACGGTTTAATAGTATTTCTTTTCTTTTGTAAGTCAAAGTTTTTCTTTTCGATCAATTTGGTGCAAGCACACTATTTGATCAATCTAATGAAAGTTCAACAATCAATTCGGTCAAAGACTAAATTGATACAATTTTAATATCTAATAGTGCAAACTAACAAATGTAATTCGTTAATACTTATCAATTTTATTGTTTAATTTTCTTGATTTTTAACTTTTTATATCTTTTTAGGATCATAATTTTTCTTTTTAGTAATATCACTTGTATTAAAGGAAATGCGCACATTATATATTTAAAAAAAACTCAGTTACATATGCATGTATAACACATGGTATATAATGAAATGTAATAAGATACATATTACTTAGCTTATATACTAAATATCGTTCATATACAAATATTTTCTCAAAATATTCGTCGATATATTTGTAAATTAAGCTATCGGTACGATAAAAAAAACTCAGTTACATATGCATGTATAACACATGGTATATAATGAAATGTAATAAGATACATATTACTTAGCTTATATACTAAATATCGTTCATATACAAATATTTTCTCAAAATATTCGTCGATATATTTGTAAATTAAGCTATCGGTACGATATTTAAAACCTTGGTTATTTTGAAAACACCAATGTGAAACAAAATGGGAGATGAATGGTTAAGTAATAGTATGGTTGTTTACACTGAGAGAGGTGTTTTTGCTTTTATTGATTATGAGCCTATTATGCGATGCATTCATGACATAAAACCTCGCCGGCAGCAATGTATTGATAAATTATGAACGGCATTAACATTGTTTACTATCTAAAAAGATTTGGTTGTCTAAATTTTTTTGGGACATCTTGCCCTTTTAAATTTTGCCTCTCTCCCGACAACTCCTGGCTTCGCCACTGTTTGTGGTAGTGTTAAAAAAAAAAAAATTGGACATCTTACCCTTTAATATAGATAATATCGTTTGTTAAAAAAAAAAATTCTAATGTCATTGCTGCTTAGTATTACGGTTTAATAATATTCTTTTTCATTTGTAAGTGAAAGTTATTCTTTTCTATCAATTTGGTGCAAGCACACTATTTGATCAATTTAATGAAAGTTCAACAATCAATTCGGTCAAAGACTAAATTGACACAATTTTAATATCTAATAGTGCAAACGAACAAATGTAGTTCGTCAATACTTATCAATTTTATTGTTTAATTTTCTTGATTTTTAACTTTTTATATCTTTCTATGATCATTATTTTTTGTTTGTTTTGCTTTGTGATCAATGGTGAAGCCATAAAGGCATAAGGAGGTGCAACCGCATCTCCATTGTGGAAAATCGACCCTAAAAGTGAGAATTCGTGCTGTGATTTCTCTGAACTTGCACAAAACTGACACAGAACATTGTTGTTGCATTGCGCACATCTTTTTTTTTTATCGATACCATCGGCAAGAATCCACCCCACCAATATAAGTGAATATCTGTTTAACATTGGTACTATTGGCGAATATCGAAGAAATAAGTCGAAATATCAGTCTTTCCGATGAGAGCAGCGACTGTTGCAGAAGCAGTAGTTCAAAAAAGTCGCGAGGAAGAAGAAGCATGCGGTTCTTGGGTTTACTGCTATTTAAGTTCAAATGCACAGTTTATTTTTGTTGTGGCTAACAATGAAACTATAGCTGCAAGCACTTTTGATTTTTTTTTTTTTCCTTCTTTTTTTTTCTTTCAAATATTATAAAAAAAATCAAACTCCTAAATGAAAACATGCCGTTAAGATAAGAAAAAAAAAACATAAAGTTTACGCTAAGATAAAATTATTAATCAAACCATTCTTAAATTTTTCTTTCTAGTTCAGAGTTTTATAAAAAATAGAAAGTAATGAGCATATTATGCGACTCTTTCATGATAATGAGCATATTATGCGACTCTTTCATGACATAAAACCTTGTCGGCAACAATGTATTGATAAATTATGAATGACATTAACATTGTTTACTATCTAAAAGGATTTCGTTGTCTAAATTTTTTGGGACATCTTACCCTTTTAAATTTTGCCCCTCTCCCGACAACTCCTGGCTTTGCCACTGTTTGTGGTAGTGTACAGGTAGTGATATCTTTTGATGAAGCTTTTATGTCTTGATATTTTATGTTTTTGTTTCAGATGGACCATTTTGAGTTGTCGATTGTATCTTATTGTGTTTTACTGAAGCATCTTAGCCTCACAAAAAAGATGTACACATATCTCCCTTAGTGCATCGACCCCACATGTCGTTTTGTTTACCGCATGTTGATAATTTTCTATTTATACACATATTGTAATGACCCGTTAAGTGAATTTACGAAAATACCCTTTCAAGGCAAATGCGTTGACTTTTGTTGACTGCTGTGTCGTGTCACGTAATACTCGTTTTCATGGTGTATCCTCATAGTACTCGTCGCTATGGACATGTGGGCACAAGCGGAATGTAATTTGGAGTTATAACGAAGATTCTACGAACCTTTAAACGTCGAGGGCATTTTGGTAATTTGCCATTTGAAACAGAAGTGTTATTTTGTTTGACCATTGGATGAGTGCCACGTGGGGCTACCCCCACTTTTATGGAACTCTCTCTCTCTTTCTGTTTCTTCTTCTTCCGTAGCTCTTCTCTCTAACTCTCTAACTCTCTCTCGGCTCTCCCCTTCTCCCGTGAAACAAACCACCATCATCACCAAAAATTTCGACTTGTTGAACATCAAAACCACCATTATCTGCATGTCTTCACCACCATCAACCTAGTTTTGAGTTTTGTTTCATTGAAAACGAATCCTAACCTCGAGTTTGAAGAACAAGGTTTTGGACGAAGACTTGTAGGCGTGATTCAGAAAATTCCCAAACATCTTTTGAACTCAAAATAGGTATAAATAGATTCCTCATATTGTGTAGATGAAATTTCATGTTTGGATCGTGTGATTTGGTGAAGAAATGAGAAAGTTATAATGATTTAAAGTTTACCCAGTTTCCGGTGACCTCTGCCACTTTCGAGGCGTTTTACGAACAAATCACAGCGGTATAGCCATTGTAGATACCAATCTCTTTGTCTCGTCGAGAACTACGATTTCCATTTTTGAATCACTTGATTTCTTTGAGTATTGACAAAGTTATGGACGTTGAAAGGTTGCCCAGAAATTCTGGTGAATTTCCCTGTTTTCCCAGGACAGCCGTCTTTCAGGCCATTTTCTGGCCATCTCCGGTGACCATTTTGACTCCAAGTAGGTAAAATCTTGTTCTACACTTCTCTATCTTTGTTTTGGTATATTATGGGTCGAATTTGGTTGACAAACAAGTGAGATATGAAGTTCCAAAGATTGCCCAGAAAATCTGCAAAATCTGTAGAATCTGACGAAATTTCGTTAAGGTCTGCCACTTGAACATTATAGCAATCGACGATTCGACCGATGGATCATCACTAAACTTTAATACGTTATAGTACATAATATTTGAGGACCATAGAAACTTGCAGATCGGGAAGCCAACGTACGGATCTTCCCGAATTGGAATTGTAAGTTTATAAAATAAAACGTTAACCGCCACTTGAATTTGCAATAGGAAGAGATACAGCCGTTGGATCGTAATGAAACTTTACTATGTTGTTCTAGAAGCATAATGTGAATCTTTGGAAGTTACAGATCGGAAATCTAGGATGCGGATCTTCCAGATCGAGTTACGTAGGGTTGTGGACCCTACCGTTGATCTTTGATCAACGGTTGACTTTTGGTCAATGAGTCTCAAATCATTCTAGAACGTCCTTGGGGATGTATTTTATGTAAATTACGTGTTCTATCAGTAAGGATTCTGAGACGTGGTTTGATATTTGTTCTAGATGTCGATCGTTCGTGACGCCTTGATGTTTGTGTTAAGGAGTTATAGTGCGGACTCTAGGTGAGTGGGCTTTTGGTTTTCTATATATGCGTATATATGTTTTCTATTTTCTCAGAAATTGCTTTAAATGGATTTACGTTTTTAAATGCCATGTCAATTGCATTATATTTTAGTTTATGCATTAGTATAGAAATGCATTTTATTGCATGACGCTGCGAACGCTTAGGTAAGCTTCAGGTGAGTACGTATTGATGATAGTGATTGCAGTGTGTATGGTTATGTTTAGATGCATTTAGTGCTCATTATCCTGCACCCCGGTGTTAGTACTCCGCCCGAGGCTAGGGCCTAGCGTTCACGTGA